AAGAAGATAGCTATTACAATGTCATGTTTGCAACTTGGTTAAAATTATTAATAGTAGAATGGCAATGACGAAATAATTTGCGCCCCTATAACACGCAGATAGACTTGCTCTCTCTTTCTCATCGTAATAAAACGTAAAAGTTGTTCAGCCTGGCAATTACTTGGAGACTTATCGACGAACTATTATTGAACGGCTGCGCTTTCTCGCAAACTCTTTCGAGAAACCAGAAGAAGAAGGCGATTTCGCCGGAACTTTGCCGGCAGAGGAATCGTACTCGCCAGCAGCAACAGCGGGAGGGCTCAATAATTATCGCTCGGGAGTTTCGTTTCGGCCACGGCTACTACATATATATTGAACGCGCAAACACATACGTATATACATATATACATACACGGTACATCACGACATAGAAAGATACGCGATCTCCGTTCCACTGTAATGGCAGACTCGCCCCAACCGAAGCAATTAGAAGTACGAGGTAAACACAGAGCAGTGCGTTCTCGAGCGGAGCCATTCGGCGTTGGTCCGGCGCGTTATTTTCTTCTCGCTCGACTGTAAAGGCTGTAATTAAATATTCCGTGGGGCGCAACGTGGCCCCTGTTGAAGAAACGCGCGGCTCCCTTCTGAGAGAGACTGGGACCACCTCTCCTCGTCTTTCAAGTCCTCGCGTATCGTTTCGCTGATGAAGAAAAGATAGATAGACACGCCGCGCCGGTAGTTTTGGCACGCACGTGTGTATAGAATAGATAGAGAGTTATTCGATGAGACATTGTCGGCTCGAGAGGGAGAGAAAGAGAGAAATCCCCGCAACGGCCCCGGGGATTTTTAAGTTTCTATAAATCATCTCGGTCTCTCGAAATTCGGACCTATATTTACGACCCCTCGACCTCAGTCGGTGCCTGACCCACGGGACCGCCTTGTCTCATCTGCTCCTTTGTATTTAACTGCGAACCTTTTAACGACAACTAAGTGTTCCAGCGGCCTTCCCTGGCCCGGCGTGCCGTTCTCCAGCGAAGATCTCCGCTGCCCGGGATGATTTCAGCGCGAGCGCAGGAACGCGTGATGTCTTCGGCATAAATTATATCGGCGGGACTCGTTCGAATTTTGAGCGCCGCGAGTTTACTACCGCGATTCCAAGAACTGTCGCTCGCATCCGTGCCAGACTGAAGAAATTGTTTCTGCCTCAGCCACTTTCTTTCCAGTCTTGGGCAGCATGGATCACCTCGCGATCGTCTCGCTCGAACTATGTTCGCGGATACGCGATGGGCCCGGTTATTATCGCAAATAAGATGTTTCCTGTTTCCGATGAAATAATTGAATCGATGAATTACGCAAATGTATACGAAGCGTCAAGTATATATTAGCATTCGCATCAATTTAATTCATTATTTTCAATTGCGTTATCAGCAATCTCCTTTCAAAATTGATTTCAAGTTCTTACTTCCGTTATTATGTAATGATAATAAATCGGATAGAATCGATCGATTTTTCCATATCAAAATACTTTTCTATTATTAACTAGCCCGGAGGAGAAATCTGGCTAACGAGCGCAACGGAATAATGAAAGAGCTCACCAAAAATATCCTCTACACCTGCAGCATTTTAGTCAGCCCAGTCTACCGCGCGGCACGTCCACTAGCAATAACAGGCTTTTCGGTAATGCAAAGAGTAATTAACATTCCTGTTTTAATTACAGCCTCCGCCCGGCCACCCTCTTTATTTTCACCACCCCTTCCGTACCATTAGCCGATGTCGGTTTCGCGCACGTTTGGCAAGCTCATACACACGCGCGCGCGCAACATACACATTCACGTTGCACGTTGAGCATAAGCTTATACCAGAGCGTTGGAAAATATGTGCACACACGATATACGTGAGTTCGTAACGCGTACCTTCGACAGAGAACAGCCTAAAGGTTTTTAGCCCGCGGTAGCGAGCTTTACAATTAACGGAATTAATATCGGACGCTTCTATTTATTATGGGCTTTTGATATACGCGCGATATGCACGTTGGGTGGGACGCAAGTGCATAGGGAGACAGAATCGCGTTTGCGCCACACAGGCAGCCAAAAATCCAAAGCTGGCGTATTCGCGCATCGGTGTACCGGATCCGATCCGGATTTCCGTGTGCGGACACCCGTGTGACCTTGTGTGCATTTGAGCAGGACGTGTGCTCTGCTGCCGGAGCTCGCGTATGCAACGCTCGTCATATCGATCCCCTCTTCCCCTCCCCCTCCCTCTCTCTCTCTCTCTCTCTCTCTCTCTCTCTCCCGCTCTTTTCCTCTTTCTCTTCCTCCCACACTCTGTGTCGTCTCTCACTCATACACGATACTCACCAACCTCCCGCACTCGCGCGCACCTTTTGTAGTCGCGCGACAAACGCGTCGTAATACATAGGTACCTACCTATGCGGCGCAACGATATCGCGGAACCGCCGAGTTTCAATTTCCCCGATTTACTCGATATTACGCGCGGTTGTCACGCCGCGTATAAACGACCACGAATCAACGACCCGCTAGTATTACGAGAGCGTAACTTTTTACTTCGAAATCTCTGTACGCTGCTGTTTGGTGGATAGGGCTATGAATTCCAATATCTTGATACAAGAATCAATACCACTTTGTAACATAAAGAAAAGAAATATCACAAATATAAAATAATACACGTAAACAAACACACAGAGTTACATATATCTTGAAATCAAAAGAAAAGCTTAGCTCTTTTTTGTTAAATTAGACGATGCATTCGTGATATGTGCGAGTAATATAATGATGATACATTGACCGATCTTTATATGCTCTCAAGTTGTCAAGTGTCATCGATGACATCACAATCGATTTTGTCCCAAAGGTAAACTAATATTCCCTCGACACCGAGATCGGAACTGAATCGCATTCATATATCAATGGTACTCGCAATCTCTTTCTGCGGTCCGCTCGCCAAGACGGAATCTCCTTTCCGCGTCCTTCGTTCCTCGAATCGGAAGGACGAGAAACGGGGTTTCGTCTCGCGTAGCCCGAGGGTGCTCGGCAGAGGATCGTCCCGATCCTCCGATCATTAATCTCCCGAATCGAATCTCGAGTGCCTCGAGACGATTGGAAAAGGTGGGTACTCGACTCTCCCCGCGCAATTCTTCCTCAACCCGCCATTCTTTCTTCAGCCTTTCCTTTTTCTTTCTTTTCGACTTTTCGGATGTCGATGACTCTAATAATTCGAGCGGCCACGTTTTTCGGCGTTGCTCGACGAAGCGACGTGCCGACAGTTTCTTGAGAATATTTCGTCGAAATCGCGACAGAACCAAGCAGAAAACTCACGAGGTGAGCGAAGAGAATGAGAGAAAGAGACAGGACCCGGAGGGTGCGCGAGAGGGGAAAAGATGAGGGGGAGAAGGGAGAAGGGTCGGTCGGTCGGTCGGTCGGTCGGAGGTTCCATTTTGTTTCTCTGCCAGCGTGTGGCGGCGCGATAGCAGCGGCACTCTGTCAGAGCGTGACGTTATCACGACACCCCTTCTACTACCTAGCCAAGGGGTGCCCCGCACACTCCACCTCTTGCCAACCCCGGTGTGCCGACCTCGGTCCCCCTTTCCGACACCCGCCACGGGCCTAGGGTACAACGTGGATCAAGCCAGGGGTTGCCTGACTGGCTGCCGCGCACGTTCTCTGTCCTTTCTTTCTTCGTTCACATCTGTCTCATTCCCTCTCATGCCCTCACGCAGGCTTTAAGGCCTCTACCCTCAACGAAAGAGAACACGTGAGATGGTAGGAAAGCCGCGAGCGAAGCCGCGATAAGATTATATAACAAGCCGAAGGAGTTAGAATTTCAGCGTGAAACGGGGAAAGCATTTTTGCATTCTAAGAGTAACCCCCGTACCTGTCCGTGCGGCACTACTCTATGCGGCTTTCCGGTACCCGCCGCGCACGGTGCACGAAACGCGTTACGATACGTGCCCGACACGAGCCTGTCCCGAAACTCGTACTCGTACATCACAAATAGACTTTATGTCTATTCGCAGGACGAAATAATACAGCGCACCGGGATATCGTGTTTACTGTCCGGAAACCTCCAAACTCCCCAGCGGAAGTACGATTTCACTCTCGAGCTGGCATTCAACAATGATGTAGTGCCCGGAACGATGCTCGATAAAATGAAAGGAAGATGATGCCGGGTACTCATTACCTCGCTCAAAATACATGAATATGTCAGATGCAATCATAAAGCCAAGAATGTGGTCGATTTATATTCTCCGCGAAACAGACTTAGTTTACTCCGTTAGCTCATTCCTTGCGGTATACGTATTTACTTTCGAACGAAAGAGTCGAAAACACGGAAATGTGATTGGCGATGTCGTCGGCGTTAGTGATAGCCGGTCGTGAACATGAGACGGAGCAGTGACTAAAGAGACAGACAAGAAGAGAGAGAAAGAGAAAAGACGCGGCCAGACAGAGGCGAAAGCAGTAGTATATGATTTCGGATCGGAGCCAAGAACATTTCAGAGATCCCTCTCGGATCTAACCAGGTATGCAGGCAGCGGGTTGAAAATAAGCAGCGACACGCCATCAACATAGCATCGCATAGCGAAGGGAACCTCGCATTTGACTTTTTTGCCAGCTGGCAGCCTGTTATAGCGGCAGATGATCTCCGAGCCGAGTTCTCTCCTCTTCGCTTCGTCCCCCTAATCCTGAGTACCACCGGCACCACCATCGCCACCATCGCCGCACCATCGCCACCTCCTCCTCTTCGTTTTCTTCTTCGTCTTCTTGTTCTTCTCTTTCCTCTCTTCCTTCTCCGTTCCTTTTATTTCGACTCCTTATTTTCTCCACACGGTGACCAAGGCGACTCCATCATTTCTCAGAGCCCTGTATTCTGTGCTTCCATCTGATCGTAAAAACGTGCCATTTTTGTGCCCCTTCAAGAAATAATGTCGTCGAATATGTATATACATCTGTGTGTGTGTGTGTGTAAAAAAAAATTGAAGAAATGGACTCGAGAGAGAACGATATATTCGTGAGGAGGCGTGTACAGATCGGACTTGGGCAGAAAAACGAAAAAAGTTGACAGACACGTAACGAGATCGAATCTCATAGATACATTGTTCGCGAGTATGGAATAAATTGTTAGTCGATTTTTTCAAGTTTACGACACGACAAATCAATACCTGTCATCATACCTAACCCCGGAAACTACGAGCGATTTCGCGCAAAAGTGCTCACGCGCGCGACAGTTCAACACACGACACCGAACTCGAGGATTCCTTATAAATCGCCAAGACATGCATGGGAGATATTATCTGTTGACACGCGAACACGTCGGCGATATCCTAAATCAGATCAGCCGCCCATAAATCCGAGCCTTCTTCTCGAGTTAGAAGCAGATCGACGAGAAGAAAAGTAAACGAGAGGTACGCATTACAACATGTGTAGGATTCAAGATCTACGATTTCCTCCTTTAGATTCCCTAAAACTCATACCAACGATTTTTGACTCATAGTCATCCTTAATCGGAGATGGGATCGCATCGTTGGTGACGGGACAAGGGTTCGGGGGATCCGCAAGAACATCAAAGATTACGAAAGAAGTCTCTTGTTCCGAGAATTATGTCTATTATATCTATGGCACTTGTTAGTTTCGATCTTAAATCGAAATAATTAATCAGCTCGAACCGGTCATTTAAGTGATTTCGCTTTTCCTCTTCTTCGCGCTCTGTGGCATTCATTATGCATCATCGTGAATTCACTCGAATTCTATTATAATTTATCCACAGAGTTAGTCTCCTCGGACGAAAGTTTCGTTTCGATCTTGACATTCGTTCCAAAACGCTCCTCTTCTATCGCGTCATCCTTATAAATCTTTCAAAGGTCCTATAATTGTCACAGATCTTGCTCGAAAGCAATGAAAAAAAAAAGAGAGATTTCTATGTTACTGCTGGCAAAACTAACTTTTTAGCAAAATTATCTTTTTAGATAAAACATAATTAAAACCATATATATGGCAGTTTTCTTCTATCAATTATTCAGTGTTATGCAATTAGCAAAGATAAAAGCTCCAACACTTTAAAATGCTGAGAAAAAATAAGAACAAAACTATAAAAAATATAGAATATGTTCTAAGAACGCATATAGATATCCGAAAAGATGATAAATATTGTAATCGCGTATTTATAAAAAAAGTATCTTAATAAATAAGGACATAGAACCAATATGGTTGTTTCTAGAATGAATTATTCAAAAACATTTGCAAACATCTTTATATAAAAATATGTATAAGGGCGGAGAGAAAAATTTTCATTAATAAATAACGGTACACTAGTGAAATGGGGACGGCAGGGGGGAAGGGGAAGGCATTCTCATCTAATTCGAACGAGAGTTTCGTCCACGGCTATATAGAGCAGCCGGTCGGTACTATCAAGGCTGATTCGCAGAGGTGGTTCTGGAACTGGTGGTTCAGACACTAAGCCTGTAGACGAGGAGAAGCACCTGTGTCCCTGCTCCGCCCCCGGCCGAACCGACGACTAGATCGATGCCAGAGCTCTCTCCCTTCTCTGTTCTCGACCTCTCTTCCTCTCTCCTTTCTCTCGTCCGTCTCTTGCGCTCTCATCTCTTCCTCCTCCTCTCTCCATCTGTCTTCCTCTTTCTCTCTATCTCTTCGCAATATCTCTCTGCGCATCTCTGCGCCGGGTTCTCACGGCAAACAATGCACCGCGCGACGCCCTCGAAAACATCCACTTCTCTTGTCGCGGCGACGAGAAAGAGAAAGAGAGAAAGAGAGGCAGAGAGGGACAGAGCTGCTATCCACGCCGGTTCGGAAATTTATTTCCGAGACCAAAAGCTCTCAGCGCACCGATTCGGGAACGAGTACCGTCGCTTTCAAATTTTCTGGATGCCTCGTGAGATCTTGCAGAGCTACACCCGTTTTGATTTATCTGCTAGACATGCTGAACTTGTCGATGTAATACAAAATTCTACTAGTTATGTAAATATATCATTTGATCTTCATAATATTACTTAAAACATTAAACCTTAATTAAATACACAATAATTATGTGTATACGCGTATTATCTAGAATTTATTTTTTTGCTTATTCATGTGAAGCATCTATCGTTAAAATGTTCACAATTGATTTAGATGCATCATATAACGATACATAGTAATGGACATTCGCCATTTATGTATTCGATCTATAATCCATAGCTATACAAAGGTCCCTCATCGTAAGGACGATCACCGAACAATTACGTTAACGAGAATAATCTCACAAGAAAGGAGAATCATCGTCATGAACGACGGTGTATTTATCGGACGTCATCTGGCGAGTTCGCCAAATGGAATTTGATTGGCCGTTTGCCACGAACAGCTCTTGGTCTCGGTGGACGAGTACTATGCTTCGGCTGCTCATGTGGTCCTCTCTATCCTATCCGCACGTGTATCTATTCTCTCTGGTTCCTCCATTTCCTACCTATCCTATCCTAGCTGTCACCGCGCACGAATACACGCGGATGATATACTACGATCTAACGGCGACCGATATGATCTAAAGAAATGTTTAAATTGATTTATCTGAAACGAAGAGAGGAAACGGAAAAACTTTAGTGTCTTTTTCCGTTATTTTCTTCGTTAAATATCATATCATAAATACTTAACAATAATTAATCCTTTCTAAAAACAAATGCTGCAGATGCCGATTGATTGTCTCACAGCGGTTATTTCGTGAGCGGCTGAGTTATGGCATATTTTAACAGTTGTGTGTGTACTGAGTTGATAGAGTGTATAGCAAATATACTAAAAAGTGAAAAATGTTAAATAGCGCGCACGAAGTGCGCGCCTGTAATGTTAGTATGTAAAAATAATAAATTACACAAAAATGATATTATTTGATATGTGATATTAAATATAAAATTTATATGTTAGAAACTTTCCTTAGAGAGAATAATAAGATTATATTAGATCAGAAAGAGATATTTCAGATATCCGATTGAGATATCGAATTAATCTACACGATGGAAAACACGAACGGAAAATAGGAAGAAGACAGTTGATATACATATTTCAAAGTAGCTACCGCTCTTTTATCTGGCTTTAATAAATCTTCAAATGCTGAAACGATATTGGGTCGTACAGATGCGTATTCAAACTCCAAAGCTCGTAGAATAAAAATTCTCAAGCTCGTACGTGAAGCTGGTCACTTCGAAGAATTCCAGCGTATCTACGAACAAGATCTATCAACTCTTCGTACGATAAAGCAAGCTTCCTTCTTCCTCGTCTTCATCCGCTTTTCTCCTCCCTTTTCCTCGACGTTCTCAATTCAACCTTCTCCTCCGGGATAAACCAGGATAAATGTCTCGGAAATATAGTGGGCCAGTGTCTGGCAGGGACCGGAAATGGAAGCTTGTGGTCGGATACGGATGTATATTTCGTTTGGCTCGGAGAATTTTTTTTTACCGTTCTCACCCTCATAAGAGTTTCTGATATCCGGAGTATAGCCTCTACAAACCTTGACTACAAAATTTTTAAGTCTTGTTCGCAAAGCAGACGCACCCTATGCAAACTTATTCAATATATATATAATCTACATAAACTATTAATATATTCATACATATCCCATTTAATTCTATTTCGCGATCCAAGAAAAACAGCGAGGTTTACTTAATTTCTTTGAATTCTGACACAGTGTGCGTGATCGAAAATTTACAAAATATTAAAAAAGATTATTAAACAAATTAGCGATGTATAAAAATGTAGCAAAGTTGTTTAAATAGAAATTTATACTGCCTACAAAGAAAGAACGGAATAAGTCAGAAGACAAAAGCGCCAAAAACCTCGAAACAGGTGGCGTGTCAATGTCTGTGGTATGCTTCAACTCGATCTCAAGACGCGTGTGTGCCGTACGTGAACAGTGATCGATCGATCTGTCCGCGTCGAATTCTCTTCTTCACATTCATCCAAGACACTCCCTGATCGTCTCTGTAATCCGAACGTTCGATAATCGACGAAAAGGCAAACAACCCGGGTGTATACATCCTACTTTCTCTCTCTACACCTGAGAATCTCTCATCTAAAAATTGCGACGATATATATATAGATATTGTATCATTTCCGCATAATTTTTAATCATCTAATCAAAATGAAACGTTAAAAACATATGACAATTTTTATCTTTAAATTACAATTATCTGTGGTCAAATCTAGTAGATTCAACTAATCGGTTATTACTATCATTCCAACATCGGAAAAATATTGTTTAATATATACCTTGACTATTTATGTAAGATACGCGTGAAGCTAGTGTGCGCGGAGGTCACACACACGAAAACCTGTCTCGTATTTCTCACACGGGCGATAAATGACAAGACAGAAGAATTCAGAGGGGTGGTAGAGGTGCGCGATTAAAAGTCCTTCAGAGGATGCCGCGGATACACAGCTGGCGAGAGGTAATTGCGCCACGTGACTGTTGGTATATACTACACCGAACCACCCTGCGCCTCGCCGTGGGCACCGCCACCAGTACCTCCAGCAGCCTCGAACCCCCATCGAGTCCCACTCGGTTCCCACCACCCCTTACACCCCCCTGGAGGAACGAGCAACGAGCAATTTCATTACTGCTTAACGCCTGTCATAAATCTCCACGGGAGCCCTCTCGCTCTCCCTCCCCCTGCGCCCATCCTCCCCAGCTCCTCCACCCCCGCCACCCTGTCGAGGTTCTCTCCCTTGTTTCACCTCTTCTCCCCCGAAGACTCCACCCTCACTTGCACAACTCCGCATCTCGCGTCTCTTGCTTTCTCCGGCTCAATTTCTCTGCACTATGTTTCATCGCTTTTATCCTTCGCGCCTTCCTTGTATCTTTTCCCTCCTATCTTGCGTTTCTTCCACCGCGTTGCCATTTAAAGAAGAGAAAGAGAAAATGGAAAACGCGCAGAGTGCCTATTCTGTACTTTTTACGTTACTGTTTAAAGAAAAATAATGATGAGAGGATATTCCTGCGACGCGCGCTTCTTCGCTTCTATGCTTCATTCCTTTTTTCATCTTTTCGCCCGCTGTTCTTACACGACTTTCTATTGCGTACCGCGTCCTAATTCGCTTGAGAAACGAAAGAAGCGGCCTGCTGATACAACCGGTACAAATGGAAATAGGAAACGAGAAGAATGAGCGTTACAATATACAAGCACGGACACTTCTCAGGCGTTCCGCGTTCTCTATTCTCCATTCTGTTCGCGCTTTCCGCAGTCTTCCTCGACCGCCTCGTCGACCGCGGGATTGTCGTTAGACGCTTCATTTACGCCCGCTCTGCGAAATTCACCGGTTGCGTCGCTGGGGCTGCGCTGATAAATCACGCAGTCCGTTTTAAACGTTCCTGGCGTGAGGAGCGGCAGCGCGTTTCCTCACTTTTTCATCGGACCACGACCGAGTTATATCTCTCGCACGTGAGTGCAGTATTTGCCAAGCGGTGCGCTCCGGAAAACGGACGCTGAAGAATGCAATACGTCGAGAATAATTACTGCCTAATTTCGAGTTGATAGTTCTTCCTTACTATTTAAATATATCTAAGTCATCGAGTAAATATGCAAATACGCTAAATCATTCACTTGAATCTTACAACTGTAAGATTATTAGACGGATTATTCTTTTACTATTTATGTTATTATTTTCTATATAATTACAAGTTGTGCGTTAAGCTCAGCTATGATGATTGAATCTATTATGAATGCTTCCTAGAATAAAGGTCTGTCATCTTAAAAAGTGTCAGCAGACAAGAAAGAGATTCGACTGCGACTTGGCTTTCTCGCTCGAAGGATCGGAATGCAGATGGCATTGTTCTAGGACGCCGATGGGTTCCACTGTTGGAGTTGGAGGCGTTGATGAGCCGGCACGATCCACGGATGTTTTCTACGGTCTCGCACTCCTTCTCGATCCTCACAGTCTGCTCATTCTTACTCGTGAAGACAGCGGAATGCGATTCGCCGAGCCCTCGTGCGATCCAACTATAGCAATATGCAGGCGCAAAAACTCTGTCATCGTCGCGGATATTCGCGGTAAGGTTAACGTGTTGGGAAGCTGCCGCCAAACACACATCACTTTGATATCTCGTATCTCTTTTTTGCTGCATCATTTTGCATTCATGTTATTACTAGACAAGTGTAAAATCGTAAAATAAAGGAAGGTACAAAATTTTCAATTAAATGAACTCAGAATTTCATGCAACATTACATTTTTTTTTAACTCTTGATGAAAAACAAAAATAAATATTTTTAATAACATCCAAAGTGATAGGTATCGTACAATCGATGAAGCGTCAAAAGTAATTGAGGCGTAATCCGATGGTTTATATAATTTAATCTACGAAAAAGCTCTATAGCCTATATGATAGAGATAAGGCTGATTCTTCGTACGATAATCTCTTCTTCTTGTCATTTTGTGTAAGTAGATACGCGTGTAAGTAGATATGCGCACACACATTTTTTCAAAAATTATTAATATTTTATATTGTATATTTTAAATTGCAATCGGCCATTGCCGATCATCAAATCAAAATCTAAGCGAGTCAGAGAATTTGCAAATAATTAGACAGGAAAATTCGACAAGATTCTAATATACGTCAAATTTTATGGCATAACCATTTAAAAGTAAAAAAAATGTTGATGTGTAAAAAAGAATTTATGGAAATTTTGAAATATTTTTCAGTTAGTAAGAAAATTAGAATCAAGAATATTTTTCCAATGACACCGATCCACCGTTAGCTAGGCCGTCTGCTTGGAATCCATGAAGTTCATGCGCTTCGGTTCCTCGCGCGAGGCGTGAGTAACGTCGCTAAATCATACGCGGTTACGACTGGTCTCTAGAGATAACTCGCAGATAAGGAGAAGCGAAGATCATGCCGTGCGCGACCTGGCTCGCGTGTATCAAAGGACTCCATCTGCCCGGAGCCACAAGCCCGCCGTCCAGCTACGGCGTCAATGTCAACGGCCTAATCATGACTAATGGTTCTTCGCTAGCTGGCTTCTCTCCCTTTTTCCTCTCTTTCCTTTCTTTGCCAGACGCATCGACGCTAAACTTGACAACGGTACGCACATGTAGGTAGAAACATATACGCACGTATGAAAATACCACGTATACTCGCGTAATATACTGCCATAATCGTGCGTGCGGCGAGAAAAAGTAAAAAAGGTACGGATAGAAACAAAGAAGGGAATAGATAGAAAAAAGAAAGAGAGAAGCAGAGAAAGAGATAGATACTTAGTAAAATCGTTATACCTTGTTCCTTCGGCGGTTAGTCTGGCTTGTATACGCGTACCTTACCTACAGTGACGCTCACAAGAAGCGAAAGCCGATCCTTATCTCGTCATGTTCTCTCTACGCTTGGCGATCCGCGCGATTCGCGGCGGACCGAGGCCGAACAACAGACAAGAACGGAAGAACGAGGACCGAGCAGATTTTTGTCCAATTAACATGCACCGCGTTGCGGAATTTTTTGTCGATGTAATCTCCATGTGGCACGGGCCTATATCTCACGATATTACGATTAATGTAATTTGACGTCGGTATTCCGAACGCGATATCCCTCGAACGCGAGCTCCGTGCAGCATGCGAGTACTGGCCAATGCCAGTATATATATGCGTTCGATCTCTCCCGAAGATTGGCCCACCCGATCTCGCCTGAAGACAGAAACAACCGCTGCGAATCCGATCATGTCCAAGACCGAGCTGACGTCCACGCCAGATTTCGATCTCTCTTCTCTCTACAGTCTACTGTATAAAGAATGAATTCAGTCAAATCTAGCACTAATTATAAAAAAACGAGTTTCGACAGTTACATGAAGAAAACTTAATAATGTCGTTAACAATTATTATCGTTCGTCGACATCAAAAATTTCGAGATAATTATCAAATTGAAATTTCCATTATTCCATTATGATTGGAGTGGAAAATGCAACGCGTTCAACGTTTTCTCTCCTTTCCAAAATTCTTCATTAATAATTCGATAAACATAAAGTAAAAAATCTTTAATGTAACATACATAGGGCGTTAGCTAGCCTATAGAGTCAGCATATCTGGATTCCCAGAAGATCGAATAGTCGCGCTATAGACGATTCGAATGAGGCAGGACGAAGAGCGGAATTGCTTATATAGAGATGGCCGTTCGTGATATAAGATCCAGCATATCCCGTAGGAAATCCTGGGAACGGATCTATCTTACCCCGAGGGATAGCGTCGTTGCGGAGGAAGAGAAGCGCGCGGGAGGAGGAATTCACCTGTCAGCCTGAATTAAAGGATGGCGGGATCGCGCGCGTGTGAGAGACCCAGTCGGCTCGATTCCCGCAATTGAGGCGTCTTGCAGACCGCCTGGTTCCCATTTCGAGATGCCGCGGAGAGGATACATTGTCTCGACCTCCATACAAACCGACTCTCTAAACTCCTAACTTGAGAATATTTGGAGAAAATTTTCGTTAACCAAAATTAAACGGAATACTAACCGATACACTACCGATATACACTAACTGTTATATTCACTCCAACAAAATTATTCATGTTTGGTAAATTTAATTGCAGATTTTGCATGTGTTTATTTTCTTATAAGTAAGCTTTAATTAAGAGCATAAAATAAAAAAGATAAAGTTTTGAAAATATTAAATTATATTTATATACTAAAGAATCGTTATCTAATTTATTTTCCTAAATCTTTCATTATGTTTTTATTTAGATATACGATTACTATACAATTTAAATATTAATCTTTACGTAAACAATATAAAGGAAGAATTTAATGTATAAAACATTGTTAGTGATACACTCGGACAATGAAAGATTCTCAGGACCGACTCTTGAGTGGGGAATCCTTTCGTTTTGGCTTCTTTCGCGCGGGATATGTCGCGACGGGCATTTACGCGGCATCGACCGCGAAACGAGTCGCCTCTCAGAAGTCGCCGTGTAAGAATGAAGAAAGGAGTAAAGAAGAAGACGAAGAAGAAGAAAACGGGGAACGATACCGTCTGAAGACCGTGAAATCCGGATCCACTCTAAGCCCCGTTCAGCCGGCGAAGCGACTCTCGCTTTTCTCTTTCGCTCTCTTCGTCTTCTGGACGCCCAATCCGATAAAAGGAGGATGCGCGAGAAGCGAGAAGAGAGAAGCGCGTGGCTGCAGTGGTTCGTTCGCCTCGCCGGTTCGTTAACCGTCCAATCGCGACGATGCCGGTACGAGAGCAGCGAAGATACCGTCGTGTCGTCCACCGACGAAGATGCCGCAAAAATCTGACGTGACTCGCTTCAACTGTCCGATGTCCCGTCCTTGCGTTCCAAGCCGAGAGGAACGCAAATACAAAGACGAGCAACTTTCTACTTGGAAATAAAATTAAGTAGCATTAAGTGTACACTTGTGTTTCTTCTCTATTTTACAATCACAACATTTTAACAAAAATGGAAAAATATTATTTATTTTGCACATAAAATGCATATGGATGGGAAAAAAACAATGGGAAAACACGAAAGCACAATTTGCTTGCGAAATCCTGCTTGCAAAACCAGCCAATTCGTAAATTATACGTCGAAACGTGCGTTGGATTATGCATGTTTGTATATAATAATTATTAATTAATGTTCTGTTAATTATACGTCACAGAAATTCATGGTGCGTAGTCGTTTACTCTTCCGGTGTAATTCGCTAGCGCTGGTCTATCGGATGTAATTTATTCGAGGTTCCATTGTTTTGCAACCTTTATTATCAATTGAAAACGTGCTCGGCGTTTTATTTGATACTTTGTCAGCACCAGGCCAATTAATGTTATTTTACAAATGCGCCTAACGAAATTAATGATCTGTTACAAGCGTGAGATGAAACTACAGATAAGAAAAGATTAACTACATATATACAAATGCTTATATAAAAGTACTAATAAATATATTCTAATAAAGAAAACTATTTTACCTTTTTAATTAATTCTTTCGGCATAGAATAATCAAAAATTTCAAAAGCTGTCATATTGAAAAAATATATATCACTAAAAAAAAATTTTTTTATTTTCCTACACTGACACAATAATTGTCAAAAGCACACTTTTTCAAATGAAATAACAGCAAGTTATCTTGACGAAAATGTTATTTCCTATGGTCAAAAGGTAACGCGTTTATTGAGATCAAAATCTTGCGTTGTCCTCTGAAGCGAGCCAACGTTCGGTGCCGTAATAGATCGATTGTATCAAAGTGTCACCCCAATGTACACCCTATACCCGATACTGTAGCCTCCCCGATCGCAGGAATAGAATAAACGCAGTTCCCCTGTCAGCTACATGATCGCATCTACAGATCTCACCGACTCATTCCCCGCGACCACCAAGAAAGTGCTTAATGTAATGTGAATAATATAAAACGCCGGCCGTTACAATCATCTCCCGGCCTGACCCCGTACGATGTGTAGGCAGCAAAGAAAGATAAAAGCTCGGAGTAGAAAAGAGAAGGGAAGATAAACAGAGTCGAAATGTACGAAGGTACATCAAGTATTGATGCCACTTCGGCCTACTACGCGTTGTAAGCACAGGTACGATTCGATACGCAACCTACGCACGCATACGCCTGTGTGATCGCTGCCCCGACCCATAACCACGATAGGGTCTTTAAAGCTGCATTCTATGGCTAGATGTCCAGCACTCTCCTTAATGGGGTGCCACCGATATCCTCCACTCTCGTTCAACACATGCGAACATACCAGCGTATACCGACGAATAAACACACACCCACAGACGCGATCCAATAGACGGATCGCGAAGATTCCAAACCCAATCCTCCCTGTACATCTCGCACTCCGTTTCTCATCTTTGTACCCTGAAAGCGTTACCGAGACTCCTAGAAGGAATTTAAAGGTCTACCGGGAATCGCGCGCGCGAGTAACGCACCTTAATGGGATTGGCGTTCACGGAACGATCATTAACGTCGACGGGCAAGCACGCGGATCTAAAGAGAGAGCGAGAGCAGCGTTTTGTCCTTGGTTTCCGCCATATCCTGATGCACGGAGAACAACGTGGAACCATGCCATAAATCCGCTATGGTGCCTCCTGGGACGTCTACCGACCCCAGCGCTTTCGAAGTTGCGATAATTGCGGACGGTTAAGCGATTATCCAAAGAAGGTCTTACCGGACGTATAGTTGAGTGATGATGATGGGGTATCGCGCGACATCGATCGTGCATCACGATAGTTTGCAATAATAGACGCTTGTACGATCGATACGGAGGTATATCTTTTTGGTCAAGATTTCCTTGTCGACGATCAACGCCTGCATAACGCGAGAAAATCGCTGTTACATAAATACATCGCGTGCACGCTTTATTCATGTATATTGTACACCGACGGGAAAGATTGTTAATAAGTGGCAAACATAATCCACTGCCATGCTTGACATTTGTGATTAGATTAATCAAGATCGTTACGGGCGTCGCGCCGTTCTGCGCTCTCGCGTAACGAATTCATCCTAGTACTACCAAGGAAAGTACATACTGTATTTCACGCAACGAATGCAATAAAGTTATCTTTAAGTCGAAGAAACGACCGTATGATCTGAGAAGAGAGAAATAAATGGCCCGGATGACTGATAGTGCCGGGCTGCGAAATCAGTACGGCAGTTCCAGAATCCAAAACGAAAGCAACCGGGAATTAGCGATGTCTCTGCATCAAAGTTAAGCCTACACGGTCGGCTGGGACGGACGTGAGATTACGTCGAGCGACAAGTAGAACCAGAAAGGCTAATGAGTGGCCGAGTTAATACCAGGCTCAGTGCCGCGCCTGCTGTCGCCTGTGTGTAGATAGACATATACATATATACGCATGCGTATGCATATATACACATACGCATGTGGGTGCGGATACGTACACGAGAGCACGACTTTCTCTCCCCTTTCTCTGTCCGCTCGACGACGGGATCTACGCGTACCGGCCCTCGGTTTAAACCTATGAATGCATATTCAAGATACGAATGTTTTAAATCCAGGCAGGATTATTCGCCGACGAGTAGGTATGCTTCTGGCCTGGAGAACGGGGGAGAGACAGAGGCGAACTCGCCCGGGTGTATAAAGACGGGCTGTTTTATTATTTTTCATATCGACAAGAGAGGAAGAGAGGAAAAAAGCGGAGAGCACGACGAGAGAACAACGGGCGACGGGAGAAAGGGATGGAATGGCGCGGGGGGTGAAGGATTAACGGCGATAAATTTCGCAAAAATAGGGGCTTACGCTGTCGCGGGGCGACAGTCTAATCCCAGTTCCGCACACTACCCCCCTTACGCAGAGATGGGGGTACAGCTCGACGTAGGATCGTCGCGCGAGAAACGACGCGTTGCTGGTGGCGATTCCAGCGGAGGTTCCCGCTTGTGCTTTTTGCAATTATCTTTCTCACACTCAAAATTCTTTTTCCTTTTTCAGTTTTCAGCCGTTTTTTTTTTCTTTTTCTCCATAGTTGATACTCGCGATGTTTACAGAATTTGATTTCCTCTTGAGGTTAGCGATTTTTAATAAAAGACATTTTTACAGCTAAGCAAATGCATAACGACATGTTTTTCAACCATCTGTAAAGTCTGCTTCGCATCATTAAAACTTTATCGTGAAATTAACTCAAGTCGCTGTGGATGACTCTCGGTGAATGACGCGTCATGAAGTCGAATGGAGACCCATTTGTAATCTCACGAGTGGGCGAGGGTAGCGTACATCGAAGAGGGAAAGAAAAAGTTTCGGCATTCAGCTCAACATACGTAACAATGGCCGCGTATCAACATAATTACAGTTCGCCTCGGTTAGCGATGCGCGAGCCTGACGAAAGCCAAGTATTATATTCAAATGCAAGGCAAGGCGACGCCGGTAAGCAAAGCAAAACTTGCAAAGGCAAAAGGGGTTGCCGGGCCCCACGGCCAAATAGCCGAGGTTGAAGGTTATAAGTTCATTGAAGAGATGCGGAGAACAGAAAGACGAGAACTGAAGAACGAGCAAGAGGACGCAAAAATGTCGCTTCGAGCTAGTTGTCTAGCTGTCCCAAAAGAGGAAATTACGTCGTCTAGCTTGACCCCTCTGCTACTTTCGCAACGTTTCTTCTTGACTGAAAGAGAAGATCAAGAGAAACGAAGAGCTTGATAACCACATAGTAGAGACTGATACCATTCATTTGACTATCTAAATACACCGTGAACAACGCAACATTTGTCAAATCGGACATTTTTTATAAGAAATTTTTATATGAGTTTCATTTTTAACATCACCTGTATAACATATCAAAAGCATCTCTCTTCACTTTGTTTATTCATAAATATTTTTACTACATCAGATTTTATTTAATTTCTATTTGTTACTACTCCTTGCAATGTCTAAAAGTTCTCGCAATAATGTATCTTATAACATAAATGTAAGTAACAAAGAATTTCCACAGATATGTGAATATGGTTATATACATCGTAAGAGTGACATCGTCGAGCGTGAGAATCCTTTTGTAGACACGTCGTAAGATCAAGAAACACAGACAGAATAAAAGACGTCTCTGGGGAGAAAAAGAAAAAGGCAGCAGTGAGCGGAAGAACGGACGATACAAGGGGACCAGGGCAAGCATTGACTTCCCGAAGAAGAAACGAAGGCTCAAGGATTTGTTCAAGCGGAAAACTGCCGGTCGATGTATGCAAACGTCTCCTCCATGTCCTTCGGAGCCGATAGGGTGACAACGGGCGTATCGTGTCGCCTTCGAGAGCCGATTTTCGCGTCGCGAAAGAATTGTCCGACTACATAACGCGCGTTCATCTCTTTCGTAGCAAGTATCGCAAAGCGAAACAAAGCGGACGCAAAACGCGGCAGAGGACAGGTCAAGCTTGTGGACCTTGACCCACGACACGTCAAGGACGGGCGAGTGGTACCGGAAGCAGGTGGATAATAGCCGGTCCAGGGGTGCCAAGGGGACAATAGATGTCAGCCGGCACGCAGCGGCACCACAGCGGGACCGAGATAGCAGATCTAAGTGGGCCATGCCGCGCTACGGTTATGGCAGCATAAAACGCTCCGATAGTACCGGAGGGGGCGGCGCGCGCGCGGGCACAGCCAGCCGCGCGACGGCTCGTGCGGTAGTCAAGTTGAGTGTCGGAGAGAGAGCCCCTTTACGGCCGAAAAAACTGCCGCTATGATTGTCTATGCAAATTGTTTAAGATATCCGGGGTGAAGGCAGTTCCGCGTCTTTTGCGGCCGCCGTTTCGTGAAAACCGGCACGTCGGAAACTACTGTTGGCAGTGACGCTCAACTGTGATCACATAGTGGCGCGGTGACCTGACACATTCTTTATAATGGAATACAATATTCTAGAACGAAGTACTCGTAATGTTTAATGACGTGCGACAATGTCTTATCTGGCAACAATAATTTATAATCGCACAATGTCGAATATTTCTTTGAGGATAGAAATAAGATCTGTACGAGCTACCTGCTAGCTTTATCGCGCCATAAAGTATTAGACATACGTCCCGTATTACATCATACCTTGATGGCGATATGGATGAATTAAAGATCATATCAAGATATATTGCTGTGCCAGCGTGCAGCAACAAATGAAACGCGTTTCATTATCGATCTCGATGGAAAGATGCTAACGTTTCGGTCTGTAGGACTCTACCGCATGCAGGTAATGGCATTGCTGGTTTGTGGTTTGCAACACACTGGCCTTACCTATCTTAGATAGCTTATTGATTGCCTCGACTGCACTCTGTTCTCCCATTAGAACAATATAGAAACTGCAGAGACAATACGTATCTGTTCCATATACTAGGCACATCTAAGAAATTTATTCGCATTTTGATAACTCGTATTTTTTTTAATTTAACATTTCTATTCATTTCATATTATTACAATCAGAATAATAACAATTATATAATCATTTTACTGTGCAAGAATATTTTCAGTTAGAAATTTTATATTTTATTCTATGTTCTATGATAATACAATATCTAATATACATATATTCTTGTATAAATTTATATAAGTTTTTAATGTGTAGATATATTTTCAAAAATTCAATATATATTACACATTGATGAATTAAAAACATTTCAAAGTCAAACCAAATTTTTGAGCATATTCAGTTAATTCTTGCTTAAGAAAAACGATTGTAGGCAACATTCAATGGAACAAAGTGTCATAAAGTAGCGAGCTGGCA